ACACTAAATGTGTGGGATACCCAGAATGATCCAAATCACTGCAGAAACACCCAAAAGTCACCAAAATTACCAACTAATAGGGACTAGTACTACCACTCCTACACTGCTGCCACTGAAGTGATACTCCAACATTCACCCTTCGCCTATTTATTCACCGAAGCCACAGAATGGTCAAGGGTCAGAACAATAAAAGAGATCCAGTAACCAGCTAAGGACTCATAACCATCAAAGGTGAGAGCAGTAAAAAACACGAGGAAAACTTGTGGTACTGCCAGCAGGACACAACCCTCATCACCCCACCAGCATCACACAACCACAAGACAGAACAACACAAAATAACATGACTGCTGCCACAGTCCAAGATAAACTCCTTCCAGTATTTGATGTCAAGAAGATCACCGACCCAGGAATAGGCTAAACTCCTTACGATTCAGAAACAACGATCCCCAAACTAAACTCAAGAAATGCAGGAACTAAAAGCTAGCAATGCAGTTTTCCTCAACAAGATCACTGCTCTAGAACATAAACAGACCCACTCTGGAAACAACAAAGAACACCTCACCGAGTGTTTTCCTAGACAAATCTCAACACTCTAAAAGGACCAAGTCACCTACTTACTACCAACATTACAGAGGAAAGATCAGGAGTGGACCAACAACTTGCAGAGTATAAACAACTTCCAGGACCATAATGACAACAGCAGCTTATGATGCTGTTGTAGTTAAACAGCAAAACATCTCCAACCCACAGTCACCAAGAGACCTGCATGGATCACTACCTGTCAGCTCATCAAGGACCACCTTCGCCTTATTAAACATACGTAGTGATGACTAAAGGATTGCAAACTGATGGGCTACCAAGCAGGTTTAAAACACAGTGCTGTTAAATTCCAAACTAGCCTACAAGAAACAACCTACTAAAAACATCTATTTCTATGAAAACTGATATTTACGTCAATGAATTCATTACAAAACAAGACAAACCTTCTTTATCGGCCTAAGAAAAATTACGCCTATGCCCAAAAAATCCACCGTGCTTTGTGAGGGATGGAAAAATCGCAGTTAGGAAACAGCCCACTGGGAAGAGATACTTCATCTCTACAGAACATGACCTTAAAACATTCCTAAGTGAGGCTGGACTAACAGAATCAGAGTGAAGTGCAGATAATACCCACAGTCCACAGTTAGTGTTATATTGTCATAAATTTGTGCCCCCCTAAAATTCTAATACCCCATTTTTCTCTCGACCACTGGGAAGAGAGGACGCTTCTTGAGTCTCCCTACACGCCACCTGGTGGTGACTGCTTGACTTAGGCACCAACATGGCGGATCGTATCAACAGGAGAGTGAATACTGTCTGTATTGAATTAGTTCGAGGAACGTTAAGCAGTGCGACAATGCATGTACTGTTATCGGCCATAATTAGGGACGTCTACAGGATACCGAACGATGAATTGTACGGTGTGGCCCTTAATGGAATGTCAAGGGTTTTTGTGAAGTTTACGAGAGCTGGCTTTTACTCCAGGATTGTGGATGAATTTCAGGAGAAGGATGAGTGTGAATTCAGCCGTAGAGGTGTGTTACATGATGTTTTCGAAATATTACACATGGGTAAAAAGGTGGGTAATGTACCCTTTGAGGCAATGTGTATGCATTCAGGAAGCCTTCAGCGATTATGGAACTGTTATACGGCTAGTTATGGGGGTGTGGGGGAAGGCCGTTTGAAGGGCTGCCGAGGGGTCCTGCACCTGAAGATGTCAGTGAGGTGCCAATACCCACGTATATAAACGCTGACAAAACTAAGGAACCAGGTATTTGTCCACTTATGGCGGGCAGAGGAAAAACTTGCCAATTATGTGATTCTTAGAAGCTGCGGCGCTGTGTCCTCGCAGGCATACCCCTAGGGATAGGCGTTATGTGGATGGTGGAAATCAGCAACCGTGCAATGTGGATGTGGAGTTGGGGGTAGCGGATTGACAGATGTGATTCTCTGGAGTGAAGGAGGTGGGACAAGGGTGGAAGAGGTGATGGGGGACGTGTGTTACCCTCCCGGAGGTGACAGGGGAGAGCCCCCCATCGCCCAAGGGAAGGGTGGACGTGGAAGAGTCTACCAGGAGAGGATGTTGGAAGCAGATTGCTGCAGAGTTCTTGGCCGAGCCGGAGGGCGGGGAGGACGGACCTGTGAAGTTAAGTGAGGTGCAGCTGATGGATGAGCAGCAGGGGACAGGTGGAGGGTTTGAGGAATGACAGATTGGAACGGAAGTGGTGGTGGAAGTCCATCAGGATGACTGCATGGGGTAGTATGTGTGTGAAGTGAGAGCTCACGCAAATGGGACGGCGGGTGCCTTGGATGTTGATGAGGTTTTACACCTGGGCAGAGGACCTAGGGAAGAAGTCATGGGTAGATGTGGGGGAAAAGGCACCAGGGGGAGGGGGTGTGCCGGGAAAAAGCTCGGTGGGGGAGGGCAAGGAGGGGGGGTGGAAGCGTTAGGAAACATGATAACATGGTATGGGTATCATGAAAGGCGAATTGAGAAGACACAGTGGGCATAGGGGGATGCCACCTTTTTCTGGGAAGTTCAAGTGTATCAATAAATGTAAATGGTCTTAAATCTGAGGTCAAAATGGTTTGGTTAGAATGGTTTTTAGAGGTTTGATGTAGAATGTATGTTTTTTTTGCAGGGCATAACCATAGGTTAGGGTGTGAATTGTGTTTGCCGGGTTATAACCTATTTGTCAGTAATGCTTGCAATTAAAAAGGAGGGGTGGCAGTGGCTGTAAAGGAGGCCAGGCCCTTGCATGTCTGGGTTGGGTGAGGGGAGGGGTAGAGGGTCGTTAGGGTAGATGGGCACTGGGGGGTGGGGAGAGTTGTTTCATAGAGGTTATGTTGCCGCATGCAACAATGTTAGAGAGAAAGTTGATTTGGTTCGTGATGTTTGTTGTATTATTTGGCGGGGTCTACCTTCCATAACTGTTCTTGGGGGTGGACTGGAACTGTGTGATTAGGTCGGGATGTCTCACCGAGGGGGCGAGATGTGTCTTGGGTGCGCTAAGGGAGTAGGAGTTGTAGAGTGGTGGGGAGGGGGGAGTATGGGGTGGAGCCACACGTTCATTCATGGAAGAATTATGAGGCAAAGGTTAGATAGGAATATGTGATGCGGGATAGGTGTGGAGAGGGTGAGGTTTTGATGTCGGGTTTTTGGATACAGGCGGTGATAGCTGATCTTCGGGGATGGTATAGTATGTATATTATGTTGGGTATTGGAAATGATTGTGAGGCTACTGCAGGAGGGGATGTTGGCTCTTCTTTGAGGACTGTGGACACATTTCTGGGATGGCAGGGATGTGCGATGGCTTTGTTGACTGGTGGGAGGTATGGCTAAGACAGGAATTGCGGAGTTTTTCAGGGCACGTGGTAGGGAACAGGCACGGTGGCGGATGGTTTGGCAAAACTACCTGGAGGGACAACTGAATGCGTTTACGTACGGGGGGGTAGGGAAGGTATGGAAAGGGGTTGTGGATGGTTTAAGGTGTAGGATTGCAAGTACATAATAACAGGTTTAATGCAATTGAGTTAGAGCGGGGTTAGAGGAGGTGTTAATGGGTGATCAACCATAGGTTACGTTCTGCTGAAAATTTAGGGAAAGGGCAAATGGTGACTACCATAGCGCATCTAGTGGTCGCTGCGGGGAGGTGGGAGTTATGGTGGAGGGTTCAAGGCTTACTGATAAGGACCAGCATTGTGTTTATGCAGATTATTGGTTTAGGGAGAAATGGAGGGGATAATAAACAACAGAGAGTGCCAGTGAGGAGGTATTTGGGGATATGCAGAGTAAATATAGTATTAGGGACAACAGGAACATGAAAAAAAAAAAAAATGGGGGCTGGAGGGTTAGTATTAGTGAGGAGGAGGTGGAAGAGGCGCTTACGGATGAGTCAGGGTAAGACCAGCTGGGCCTAGATGAAATAATGAATGATTTTTTTAGGGTTTATTGGGAGTGTATTTGGAATGGTTTAGTGGGAAGTCTTGAATTATATGTGGAGCAGTGGGAGGATGGGGAAAACAAGAAAACTGGGATCGTTGTGTTAGTGCCGAAAAAGATAGGAAGGGAAAGTACTGAGTGATTATAGAGCGATATCCTTAATGTGTGCTGATTATAAAATTTATGCTAAAATTTCTGGGCAATAGATGAAAGATGTTTAGGATCAGTGATACATGGTGGGGACAGTTGGATCCGGGAAGAAGTAAGAGGGACGGGCATAGGCACATAAGGGATTTATTGAGAGCTGCAACGGAGGGGGAATCTCGTTTAATAATGGGGCAAATGCATATGATTGTGTGAATAGGGATTTCTTAAAAGTTTGTTTGGAAAAGTTGGGTTTGGGGGGGAGGGTGGTGAGATATTCTCAATCTTAAAATAATGAATCTATGATACATCCAATAGGAAAACTAGGTACTGTGCCAAACAAAAGGATTCACATTTTGCTAAACTCACAAACTAGTATTCGTCACTTAGCCATAATACCAACTTACCTCATTATTGTAATATTTTAAAATAATAAATTTAAACTAGTCTGCCCAAATGCCTAGCCTTGCTAAGCGTTCTAGTGGTACTCTCTGTAATCATGTTTAACTTCATGTAACCACACAACACCAAATTCAGTAAATGCAACATTGTAATCGTTATAGAGACTAAACTTTGAATTGAATTGATGATATAGTATCAGTAAGATGATAGAGTCAAGCTCAGTGTCATAAAGTTTACCTTGACTCTATCAGTCTAGTGATTCGAATCCAGATCACGATTCCTGACACACTACACAAAACGTCACAGGATGATCACGCCTCACGGCGTCGAACGCCCTACATGATCCCCCTCGCTACATCTCTCCCCCCCCCTATGCCAAGCTTCAACAAACTCCTTATACCGTTCTAACTAGGGAGGTGGCAACGGCAACAAGAGCAGATGCAGGCTGCCCAGAGATCCTATTTAGATCCACGTATTTGCTTCGGCAGTTACATATACTAGATTGTTAAATGGATACAGAGAAGATTAGCATGGCCCTGCTCAGGGATGACACGCAAAATCGTTAAAGCATTCCATATTTTTTACGAAGGGGCGACTATGCATGTAGCAGGTCAATGGGAAGTTAGGTGTACCGTTCAGATGTGTGGAGTTTGAGGCAAGGTTGTCCCTTTCACAGTTATTGTTTGCTTGTTTTCAAGATCCTTTTTATAGGGCGGTGCAGGGTAGAGTTTTGGGGGCGGTTTTGGGGGTTATGAGAGTGATGGGTGCCTGGTGTAATTGTGGGTTACGGTAGATGATTCATCGGTCTTGGTAGGAGGGAGGTGTAGACTTGCAGCAGGTGGAAGGCATCGTGGGACGTGTTTGGAGAGGCGCGACAGGGTGAGAATTATGCCACGAAAGACTTAAGGTCATGGCAAGTGGGAAATTGGGACCAAATGAGTGGCGGGCATGATTGAGTGGGGGCATAAGGGGTAGGATGGAGCGTGGTGGACCCGCATAATATTTATGTGGGTTTTGTATGTTTGTGATCCTTGGTCGGCACGTGAGGTGAACTCGGTGAGGGCGTGGACAGTGTGTTAAAAGATTAGGACTGAGATCTGCAAATCTCACATTACACCAAAGAGTAATTGCGACAAATGTACTATTAATAGTAACTATGGATGTTGTTGGCATGTATCCGTTACTGTCGGTTCTTTTGGGGGTCTGGCTTGTGAGGGTTAAGCGAGGGGTAATTTACTTTGCGATTGGCCAGGAGGGCGGGGTTATAAAGCTGGAATGATGGATTAGAGAATTTACGGGAAAAGGGGGTATTCTGTGGGGAGGGGGAATAATGGAGGGGGAAATAATGGAGGGGGGGATCGAGAAAGATGCATGCGGGACATTAAAACGTTGGTGGGGAATGGGAAGGGATTTGCGAGTAGGGGAGGCGATGTAGAGATTTTTGATGGTGGCGAGGGATCTTTTAGCCTTAAATCAGTGCCATAATCGAGAGAGTGGGGGGGAGGTGGAGGTCGGTGTGTGTGGGGGAAGGAGCATACCCTATCTATGGCCTGGCGCAACGAAAATGGGAACGTCACAGGAGTTGCGAATTAGTCAGGGTTATCGAGAGGTGATGTATCGCTTTTTACACGGGATTCTGCCGTCCTAGGATCGTCTTATTTATCGAATGGTTCGGAAGGGCGGGGAGTGTAGTGCATGTGGAGAAGTAGAAACCATTTTTAATGTAGTATATTTTTGTGAAATGCATAGGCAGGGTTTCTGGGAATGGTTGAAGGGTAATTCGATATTGGGATGGGGTGGGTTGCATGTATTGCGAGTGTTTAAGTTTAGATATTGATGGGTGTGGGAGGCAGGTTAAAAACAGGGAGTGGAGATCTGGTAACTGATTTCGTGGTACATCATGGGCAATGAGAGACGTAGGAGGGTGAAAGAATAAGGTGTGCCAGCGACATTTTACAGATCTAAGTTGCCAACAATCGGGTATAGTATAATGGTAGGAAAATGGAACACTGCATTTACAGAGGTTATAGGAATTTTCGGCTGCATAATTTATAGAATTTGTTGGTCAATGGGAAGCAAACAGGCTAGCCTCCCATTTGAGGGTGTGGCGTGTGAGTGGCGCAAGAATGTAGGTGTGTGGTACATATGAATAGTGAATATATATTCGAAGAGTTGCATGAGGGAAAAGGTATTACACTGTTTGTACTACACCATTGTTTGATTTAAAGGTGTTTTTTCCTTGGCTATGATGGGGCAGGGATGGAAACGTACATTTACATAATATGTATGTGCAGTGAGTGTATGTATATGTGTGGCATTGTACGGAAATATACATAGATGTATTTATAAATGTATACACATGTGTGGTGGGCATGTTTGAAACAGAGAATATAGTGGGTTGACAGAGTGTAGATGTTAGTCATAAGATGCTTACCAAATATACATTATGATGAGGAGTATCATTTGTTAATTATTAATTTATATTCATGTGTATATTTTTGTTCATCTTTGGGCGTGGTGAGAGTCTGGATGGCGGGGGTTATTTGGCTGTTGGGTGGGGGAGTTGGTCTTTTATTAGATCTTTGTCGATGGATGTTAGTGGGGTAGCAAGTGAGTGGGCAGGGCTTTGCTGTATGGTTATGGCAAGATTAGTTGCTTGTTTCTTGGGGTATGAGGCAGATTTCAGGGCAGTTGAGGATAAAAGCGTTAGCTGCAAGGTTTTATAGGACAAGGTGTAGGATAGGTCACTTATGGGGGAGATGGGAATCAGTTTTTGATAGGTTATCGTAATTTTTACTGTAGACAGCTTCTAAGGGAACAGGGGGGGGCAAGGGAAGGGTCTTTTTTTGAGGGGGGGGTGTAAGGTTAGGCTAGCAGTGTGGAAGGTGATGAGAGGTGAGCTAGTGAGAGATTTTATTTATGAAATTTTTATGTCCTGCAGAGAAAATTGATATTGGCGATCAGTACCTTGGATACATCAGTCACCCCTGGAATGCTTGCATTTACATATTTTGGTTGGGTATATTATTGCACTCACTATCGAGGATAGGGCACTTAGCGGCTGTTATGGCTTTTTCGGTCAAGCTAGTTACTGACATGTGCATAATGATACTGCCAGTGAATTACTAGTAATCCTTTTTATGAATTTGGAGAAGGGTTTTAAAATATAAAATAAAGCAAAGAAAACACTGCAGTCAAGAGTACGTAAGTATAGGATGATGCTTTGTAATTTTGTAGTTTTTAAAACATGTAGCTGAAAACTACTTTCCTTATAGCCCTTCTGGACTTAGTTTTTCTTTAGATATAAATATAAACAAGTGATTTCTTTATAACGGTAATTCTCTATAGAAGAAGGATTGTAATACTTTTGCACCGTTATGTGAAGTATATGACTATGTCTAGGATGTCAAATTTGTTGTTTCAGAAGGGAATTAGGATTTTGTGTCCAGTCTTTAACAAGTTTGATCTTAAAGCTAGGATTTTAGTTAGTGAGTGGGTGTACCTGTTTGGTATTCAAGAGGGGGCTTCTGTTTTTTTGCCCCATCCTTGTGTGGGGAGAAACCATTTGATAGGTTTCAATATGATAATTCTAGTCTAGGTTTATTTAAATATTTACATAGGTTGTTTTTAAAGCTGAGGTAGCTTGTAGTGATTTCTCTAATATTTTTTTTACGTGTAAAAGTCATGTTATAAATGATGTTCTGCCAGTTTGAATTTCTTGGTTGATGTTTTATTATTATTGATATTTAATATTGTGTGGAGTTATATTCTTCACTTATACAGGTGTGTGTGGTATGTATATAAGTACATATCTGTTTTCCTAGTACTTTTATATGTTGTTTTGTAGTTTTTGCATCACCAACTCTGGTAAATTTTCGTTAAGTTTAATCGAGGTATAGGGCATACCCTGATTGTTAGGTTTCTAAGGTTTTTTCCTCAAACGGGTGCTTGTAAATATTTTTTATCTGCACTGGCTTTATTAATTGTTTTAAAAAGGGGGATTTGGTAGGTGTGTTGTTGGATGTGTAACTGGTGGTAATATACCAGCAGCTATTGTGTTATTTAAGTCTGGGATTGTGTGGTAGAGAATTTTGTTAATATCCAGTATAGTTCTTATCTTATTATCTTATACATACTTGTATTGTTGTAAGAAAATGAGGGGGCAGGGAACTGGATTATATGAGTATGGCTTTGTATTTAAACTTTTCATGTACGATGTAAATACGTGGAGACATTTTTGGATTATCATAGCCTTTTTGTGTAAGAAACTGGTTGTATTTATGGATTTATTAACCCACTGTATGTTTCAGTGTGGGATAGTCCTTCGTGTTAGTCACCATGTATGTTTGAATTTTTTTGGGGAATGCATCCATGTTAAGTTAACGAGTGTTTCTTAGGTATAAGTTAGTGCTGGGATAGGGAACGTGGGTTTGTTTCATATTTAATGGATAACAGGTCTTAGTTTATGTAAGTATGTTAGCATTCATGTGGAACATTAAAATGGTATAAAATTACCGAACAGGTTGTTAGGTAAAGACCACATATGCAATCAGTTAGGTATCTGTATTATGAACCGTTTTCGCTACACAGTAGGGCTTCTTCCAGATCAAGTACAGAAAGTTGATAGAAGAAGATAATTGTAGGACGATGTAAATCAGTTCCATCACCCTTAAATTTTTGAGGTGGTCTGTCTCAGTCTTGAGAAGAGCATTGTTCATCAGTATGAAACAATATGGAGATGAAGTGACAGGTGGAGCTTTTTTTAGGGCAAGAGGTGAGACGTAGGCACTAGGAGAGGTACGAACTCGATGTTCAGAGGTAAGGTCCCGCTCAAATCTGCCGCATCACTTAGTCGGAAGTTGTCGAAGTTGATTGCAGGTTGTACCAAGAACCCTTGTGTTGCAGTGTCTGACAGATTGAAACATTAATTGGTTAAAAATACCGACAGGTTGTTAGGTAAGACACATGCAACAGTTAGGTATCTTTATTTGAAAACGTTATCGCCTACACCTCAAAACTTTTAAGGGTGATGGACTGTGAATGTGAATGGACTGTGTAATAGAGTGAAGAGGGAATGTTTTCGTATGCTCCTGTGTAAATATTGAGTGGACGTCGTATTTCTACAGGAGCATAATTTCAGGGAGGGAAGAGTGCTAGAGGTGGCAGGGTTTAAGGTTTTGACTCTGCCATCTGCATGTATGAAAGGTGGTGTGGGTTTATTGATAAAGGAGGTAAGCCCATTTGTGTTGATACAAAGTGAGGGGGGGAGGGTGTTGCATGTGGATGGGTGGTGGATGTGGTAGAGGGTAACTTTTGTAAGTGTGTATGTGCCAGCGGAAAATGATATGAAAGTAAAGAGGGATTTTGTATGTGATGATCTAGTTTTCGCCTTACATGGTTTTCCTGCGGTGGCCATCATTGGTGGGGACTGGAACTGTGTAACTAGGAGGGCTGATGTGGAACCACAAGGGGCGGGGCACATGTTGGCAGCCTTACAAAATCTCTTGGTGGATGTTCAGTTGAGTGATGTGGTAGGTGGGGGGGCATGGGAGGTAGAGCATACTTTCGTGAGGAGAGGTTAT